TGTGAGCCAGCCCTTGCAGGGATTCAGGCAAGTGTGAAGTAGATTTGGTTTAAAGGGAAAGGATATAACTTTAAAGATTGGTTGTAAGCTGTCATGACATTTCAGGTACCTATGAAGCATTAGATCATGCTTTCTCTGTTCTGCGATGAGTTGCATCACAAAGCATATTGTGAGCTATGAATATGTACTTAGTATTTTTGTAACATCCTCTGTTGTGTCTGTAAAGAATGGGTCAGTACCCAACTTCCATGTATGGAAAGAATTTTTAAAAATGATTGTCCAATCAAAGGTTTCAGTTTTGGACCTTTATTAAATTTCCAAACATTTCTGAACATGTTTTCACATTGTCATTATAGTTACGGACTGAGTGTAGATGGATGTGCAAAATGGCAGTTTTGTCCATTTAAAATTGAAGTGACAAGCTCAGAATACTTTCTGAAAAGATGGTGTGATGTTCAAAGAAATGTACAAGTGGTTAAAGGTAAAAATGTATAAAAGGTTAAAATGAATAAGCAGTTGAAACTGATAGTTTAAATCAATAGCTAAAAATCTTGGATAAATACTTGAAATAATTAAACATAAGAGAAAAACTGTAAAGGAAAAGCCACAAGTCATGGATAAACAGTGAAATTAGTAATGAACAAGCAATAGAAATGAACGAGAAAGGGCATTTCCTGAAGAAAATGCGTGTGAATGCTGTTTGCTGAAGAATTGCCCTAGAAATGCTGAAGTGGCTGAAATCCATTGATGACACAGCTGAAAGCTCAAATGCAATGCTGGATAATTATGGAAGATCAAAAGAAAAGCTGAAGTTGGGAGCTGAAATTCTAAAATAGCTTAAATGAGCTGAATTGCATCACAGAAACAGTGGAATGTTATGGTTTAGGACTTACTTCCTGTTATGTACTTTTATTTTGGTAATGTTTCCTGTTTGTGCCATTTCACCTGCCTCAGTTTCACTCCGGTTCCTGGTTGTCACTCATTGCTTTCACCTGTTGCTCGTTATCTCCTGTTCCCTAGCCTGAATAGTCTGCTCACTTGCCTCAGTTAGATGGTGGTTCATTCCACTCACCACACCCTGCCTGTTTGCATTATTCCTGAAACTCTTATGTTAGTGATGGTGAGATGAAGCTTCATGAAGCCTTGAAACCTTCCAGCCAATTGGTTCACAAAAGGGTTCATTTCTCGAGGCTTCATGCGTACACAAACCCCCCTGTTGGTCAAAGACTGTAAGACAGGCAGATGTGTTCATAGTCATTTTAACTGTATGTGATACTTTCAAAACTGTCTTGCCACAGTTTGGGCATGGGAATAATGACTGCCATTTAACTATGCATTTTTCTCTTGTGAGCAAAAGATAATAACTCATTCAAAACGTGTGTTTGTCTCCCCTTATTAACGTGCTTGTGCTCGTTTGTAAATAGTGTGCATAAGAGTTTCTTGGCTGATACATTCTAATCGGTGTTCTGTGGTAGTAGTGCAAATACCAAAGTGAACCGCCTCCTTTACACCAATAGTTGAAATTGTCATATAATAATGACAGGGGGACAATAATCTTTTCAAATTGTGGCAGCATTTATAAGGAAGAGCAAAGTGAATGTGTTTGTGAACAGAGAAGGGCAGTGAAGGTGGTTGTGCAACTGATGTAGAGGGACATTTTATTCATTTTAACTTAAGAACAGTATTTTTTCAACTCTGGATCATGTTTACAGTAACACACGTGGTGCATACAGGGCTGCACCCCACCCCCACCTTGAATGCTCAGACCACATTTCTTTGTTCCTGTATCCAGCTTACAGACAAAGATTGAAACAAACAAACCCTGTCACCAAACAAATTAAACTCTGGACCCCAGAGACTGAAGGAACCCTGCAGGACTGTATCGCCCAAACAGACTGGGATGTGTTTAAAGCTGCAGCCACCTTGGAGGACTTTTCTTTCAGCATACAGGATAATGCTGAGTATGTGACTGGGTACATTAGTACCTGTATTGACAACATTGTGCCCACCATACAAGTCAGGAGGTTCCACAACCAGATGCCCTGGATAAACAGTCAGGTACGCCGTATGCTGCGAAGTACAGATTGAGGAATGCCATCACAGCGGCCAGTGGCACTCACCCCATTCATTATGAAGTGTTTTGAGGGAGTGGTGCTAGCCTGCATTCAGAGCAGTATACCGGATACCATGGACCCACTGCAGTATGCCTACCAGCCCAACAGGGCCCTCTCAGACACTAACACGGCTGCCCTCCACTATTCCCTTTCTCACCTGGAAAATGGAGACTCTTACGTCAGGATACTCTTCATTGACTACAGCGCCACCTTCAGCACAGTTGTCCCCCACAAACTGTCCACACTGGGTCTGCACCCCACCCTCTATGACTGGCTTCTGGACTTTCTGACTGGCAGGCCCCAGACTGTCAGGATTGGCAATAGGATTTCAG